CGCCAAGAACGGCGGCTTCTTCCTGCGCATCAACCCCGACGGCAGGGTGGACGGCGTCCGCGAGAAGAGCGACCCGCACAGTGAGTGTCCCCGCCGCCCCGCTCGGCTGCCTCTCTGCCGGTGGGGGTGGACATACGGGCGCGCCTGCACGTGGGTGCGTCTTTATATCCGTGCGCGTGTGGGGCTGTGCACGCGCGTCTATAGACGTCCGTGTGCCCCACTTTCACTGGGGCCCCTGCACGCAGAAGCATTCAGAGCAGATGCTCTGGGGCCGCAGACCCGTCTCCCTGCGTTTCCGAGCCTCTGTGTTCCTGACCCTGAGGCTGGGTGTTAGTTTAGTCCCAGACTTGCCGTGTGAGCCCCAGTACCTGGCCCGGCCTGGCCTGGTTTCTCTGCCTCGGGAGCTGTGGCTGGCCAACGTGGCTTGCAACTTGGGAGCTAGGTGGTGCGATGCTGGCCGTGGTTTTGCTGTGGCTTAGTCTGGCAGCTCCTGAGCGTGGTCCATCAGTGTATGGGACCACGCGGCTGGTTGCCCCATGGAATGGTCCAATATATCCCTGGACCTGCTGGCAGCTTTAGACCACGTAGGCTTCCTGAAGCTAAATAATCTTCATACGGCACTGTGTGGGTTTACTGACAGGCACTGGCATGATAGTCCACCCCAGCGTACTTGGTGCAGACTCTTGTTAGCATCTTGTCATTCAACCTGAGCACTCCAGACCTGTTCAAACACACACGCGTTTACCTATGTGCTTAAAGGTGCGCGAGTTTGTTTGCTCTCTCTCTTAAACAGGTGTAATGGCACTTTATTGCTTTATGCTGCTCTAATAAATAGGCTAGTTACATGAAAGCGGAAAGATTTTTCTTTCCCGGGTAGATAAGCTCTCCGTACGAATAAAGAGTGCAGAAGTATTCCTAGAGAGGAGCAGAGGCATAAATCTGTTCAAGGAAGCAGAGCTTATACCAAAGCACTGTAAGAATGTCTTTCTGTCTTAAAACAAAATGTAGTTTTTATCCTTGCGTCGTGTGTTTATTTTTTTTTAACTTAATGTAAGGGTATATAAAACATTAACGTAACAAAACGTACGGCTTCCCGGCAGAAGCAGCTTGGCCTCTCGTATCTGATCTTTTGAGGAAGGAAGGGGGGATCGCAAGCTGGGAACAGACTTTCTGCCTCCTTGTTGTGTGGTTCCTGTGCCTGTGGGTTTGCGAGCTGTGCCGGTCGGGACCCTCGATAGCTCCTGCCTTGTGCCACGCAAGGTGTCTGCTGTGTGGCAGGGAGGCTCGTGGGACGCCTGTGGTGGTGGGTTGCTGGTAGGAAGGCAGTCTGTCCTCTGTCCTAGGAACAAAAGGCCATTTTGCAGGCTCCAGAACGTTTTGGAAGTACTCCATGTGGAGTTCTTGCTGATACAGCATAGGGTTTTTTCAATGCACGTGAGGTATTTTCTTCAGAACAACTGCAAGGAGTTGCCATAAGGCTGTCTGTCCTTTACGATCCTCTCTCCTGGTGTGAGAAAATTTGTTAGTATTCAGTGTGTTTGCGCACCTTGACCAGGCAGTGGTCTAGCTGCAGGCTCTTGGCATGAAGAGCAGGCAAAAATGTCTTGCTGCAATTCTCTCTGCATCCTGACCCCTGGGTGACTAAGGTCAGGGAGATGAAGAGGAGCAGAAGCAAGTGAGGAGAGACAGGCAAAAAGGTGGCAAAAATTATGAGCCCTTTAGTGCTACTTTCCAGTTTGGGCATTTATTTTTGCCCAAAATCGTTTTCTTAGAACTCAGAAGAAAGATTGCAACAGACTGTTCCCACGTTCTGGTATTGCCAGGTTAGGACTTGGTCTGAGGCTATTTTCCTTTGTGACTCTCTGTGTGCCTAGGAGCGTTCTATGTATGAGGGGCTGTAGATACAAGTCAGAAGAGATAAGCGGGTAAAGTTAGCATCCTTTGTTAGGCTGGCTTAATATTCTTAGAAGACCCTAGCAAGCTTTCAGGCCTGGTCCTACAGCCTTGCATTTTTCTCTTTCTCTGGTACTAGTTTAAAGGGAAATGTATTTGATGATGTGTGATTAATAGCAAAACAATATATTCACTGCCAAAACAACATTTAAATAACAATTATTGCACATGTACTCTTCCGAAGTTGACGCCCAAAACAAGGCATTAATTTACCATATAGATAAGCGGTCTGTTTTTTAAACCTACCAGTCAGTGACTGCGCAGGATCCAGTTTGTGCTGGAAACTGTACAGTAAGGCATTCAGCTTGCTTTAGGCTTGCTTAGGTTTTTGGTGTGCGCTTGGGAAATGCGGGAATCCTTACAGGAAATATGTCTCATTAATTCATAACACGTGTCATCTCACCTCTAGAGGTAGCTGTGAGAATACGTTGGAAATGTGGCACGAAGGGAGATAATGTTGGCTCAGGGGGGGCAGTATAAGACTGAAACTATGTTTTCCCCATATTGTCGCTGCTGTCAGGTCCTTTTCTCATTCAGTACTTTGTGGTGAGAAATGCCAGTAGCAGTGTATGTTGTTCTGCGTTCCCCCTGAAAATATGAACCGTAGATGCTCTTAGCGTTCACCCGGCGGGGCTACAGCTGCCCTGAATCTTAGCCTTGGTCTTCTCCTGAATTTTCTTGTTCTTCTTGGTTTTGGGGCTCCCCACTTCTCCCCACACCCACCTGCTGCCTTTTTTTTTTTTTTTTTGTTTTTTTTTAAGCTCATTCTGGCAGGGAAACTAGTAATAGCCGTTCTGCCAGGGCAATTCTAGTTTTGCATTCTGGAGTCTTTCTAATGTGGGTTTTCTTTTCCTGTTAAGCCTTATCTATACTAGAAATTTTAACTGTCTTTTCAAGCTGCTTCCCTGGCACCAGCGCGTTATGTTTGAAAATCTTACTAGTGTCGGTACTGCCTTGCTCTTTCTGTGCCATTCCCTTTTAAGTTTCTCTGCTCTTTATAGCTTTTTTGTTGTCATTTCTTCTGGCCCTCCGCTTTATCTCTGTACTTTTTTTTCCTCTCTTCTCTGCCTCTCCAGTGTCACTGATCACTAACGTCCTTCTCCTTGTCCCTTTTCTAGAAGTGCCTTCACCCCTTCATTTTCCTACCCTGTCGCTGCGGAGTGAGCGGCGGGAACAGGTAGAGGAAATTCTGAGTTACAAACTACTGGTATGGCTTCTGCCCTCTGCTGCAGCAAGTCAAATGCCAGGGCAGGGCTTGCGTCCCCCTGAGCTTTGCCCCCTCTGGTCATCCTGCAGAAAACCCCTTTGCCTAAAAGGAATAATTTTTAAGCGTGGCACAAGGGGCAGGGGCTCTCCTGCCGTGGTGCGGACTCAGCGAGTGTCCATGTGCACAGGAGGAGCACGCCGGTGGGCTGCTCTCTTGTCCCCTGGCTTCAGGCTCAGCAGGGGCAGCTGCGAGGGTCTGTTCAGTGTCGGACTGACTGTCCCTCTTCCTTTCTTTGCTATCAGGTTGCTCTTTTTCTTTTTTTTTTTTTTTTCCTTTCCTGGAAGAACTCAGTTCTGAGAAGGGCAGAAATCAGTGCTTGAAGCGTCAGTGAGGCACGTAGCTCCGGCATTGCGTAGTCCACATCCTCAGCATCTTTGTGTAAACACGTCACTCGGCGCAAATCTGCGCGACGCTGACCTGTGACCTGGTGATTGCTGCTCTGTGGATCTCTCTGAAATCCTGCGGTGGACCTGGCAGGTCACGTTGGCGTGACAGGTGGCTGAGAAAGGCCAGATGTCTCGGACGATGGGAAAAGACCTAAGGAAAGAAAAGTTTCAATGAAGGAAATCTACATCTCAGTTAACTCATGATGCTTTTCTGTGGTTAAATAAAGGAGTTTTTGTAAAATGGTTTTGAGAAAAGAAGTATAATGACTGTAAAGAATTTGGGTTAGAAGTCTAATTAAATGACAGTTAGGAGAGATTCTTGTGGTAACTGGTGTTATGATTTAATTGTACAAAAAAGCATTCGATTAGCACATCCTCATTTTTACTTTTAAAGGAAGTTCTTGTTTTAGAAGGTGAATGGCTCTTTGTTTCAGACCCAGATCTAATGCTGTGAGCAGGTGTTTTCATTAGCCTTGTCTTTTTTGCCCGCTTTTGCCTCTAACACTAAGGATGGGTTATCCAAAGTATATATTCCGTCGCGTGTGATGGCATGAGTTTTGATTGTTTTACACTCAGCCTGTTCATGTTGTTGTTTTCATAATTGTGTCGTCAGTGAAATGCAAGTTTATGTCCTGTATGTTGGATGATTGGAAGCATATGATTCACTTAGCTAAAAAGTAGGAGAATACATGTTACGTGCTTGATGTTGCCACATCTGATTTGCCTTGTATAATGACTTTGGTGAAGCCCCCCCTTTGGACACACCTTAGGCATTTGCTGAGGATTTTTTTCCCCTGAATAGGTACTTTCAGGCAGGCAAGAAACACAAGGCACTTTCTGAGGCTTTTGTTGTTTAAAACAGAACAAAAAAGCAAACTTTTTTTTTGGGGGGGGGGGGGGGGGAGGGGAGGAGGAGAATGGGTGGTCAACAACTTTTGATTCATCTTCTGGAAAAAGTACACAGGATCCAGTCTTTTTGTAAAGACTTTCAAAAACTCTCCAGAGCTGTCTGCCTGTAAGAAATGACAATGCCAGGGAAGGGGGAAAAGCAAAGGGAATGGAAAGGGAACGCTTACCCATGTGTTTTAGAAAACGTCTAATAGCACAGCTGGTTTCCTTCATGGTTTCTCTTACAGAGGAATAGTCTGCATATGTATATTTATAATTTCCCAAGCTGCTTTATTTCATGCCAGCCATAAAAACAGGGTGTCCAAGGAATCCCGAGCCATTCTTGTCCGCTCATTAATGAGGTGACAAGACTCTGGTCTGTCACTCGGAAAGGATTCAGCAGAATGAGCTTTACCAACCCTACAGATGTCTGAAATACCTTCTTTCTGCTTGGTGATTGACTGCTATTCTACAAATAGTCTCAAGAAAACATAAAATAGGGTAATGCTGGTCCAGGAAAATTTTTTCTTGAGAAAGTGCCTCGCATAAGTAGTCATCGGTGTTACCATTTTTACTGATATCATAT